AGCATAGTTCCTGGTGGACCCTTTTGGAACCGATTTTCAACATGACTCTGATAGTTCAAGAGTAGACTTGAATTATTGGGTTTTACTTTCTTACCTTTACTCTCTTTGTCTCTATTTGAGGCGATCGGTTGAGTAATTGGAAACCCAGAAATGGAGGCATGCCATTGCATACGGTTTCCAACGTGAATTTTACGGAAGAATGTGCCTTGTTAGTAAGCGTGTCCAGGAAGTTAGATGCTGTTGCCATATTCGGCATGATGGTGAGCGTATCGCCTACATATCTGCGATAGAAAGAAGGGTGTATATCCTCTCGCTCAAGGTTTTCTTCGATGTGGGACATGAACACATTAGCTATTAAGGACCACTGAAGAGGGGAACCCATAGCCACACCATCTGTCTGTTCGTACAAGGCTCCCGTAAACTGGAATAGTTGTTCTTTGGTAGCTCAGTACAGTGAGAAGGTGAACAAGTTCCGTTTTGGTGAAGTTTGGGTCGTATGTTGTATTAAACCAGCTGTTTGTGAAAGCTCTTCTCGCGAGAATCTCTATCGTTTCAAATAGGGGTACGTTAGTAAACAGGGAAGAAACATACACGTGTAAATGTATTCATTTAGCTCAAAAGCTGAAAGATCTTCATTTCTTTGTGTTCACCCTTCGTTTTCCAAAATTTTTTAAGCATTCTAACCTGTAGTTCAGTTTTTCGAATGTATATTTTTTGGTCCAAAATGAACTCTTCAACATAACAAGCAGATGCCAACGTCCCTTCGAGCCATTTTCCAAGCGTGCAGTTGTTTGAGCAACGGCTGTCAGATATTACGGGAAAATTTAGTGATTTTTCCGTGTGGATGTTTAAGCATATTTATTCGTTGTTTTCGGTATTCTAACCGTTCTCAATTCATGCGAATTTCTTTAATTCGTTTTAGTGATTCAAATAATATAAAAAATGCCACAGTAGTTTTGGAATAATCAACTTAACTTCTACAGCTGCATCTCGGTACTTTTGTTGTTCGATTCTAGTCAAATTTGATGATCTTTCTGGAAAAGATTGGTTCTCATGGTAGTTGGCAGCTGAGTTTATACTCGTAATTTAAATTTCCTTTTATACGACCAAACTTAACACCGATCTTGCTTAGATAAGCAGACACTTTTAATTGAACGTATCATGCACGATCCTCGCAGTAGATAGCGCTATTTAAGCAATAGCGAAAATCAGACCTGAAAAAAACCAGGCCTGTACGGGATTCGAACCACTGACCTCTGCGATACTAGTGCAGCGCTCTACCAATTGAGCTAACAAGCCAACTGGGAGCAGGCCGTTAAGTTGATTCGTAATAAACCCGTGAAAGTGATAAATCAGATACAATGAAATATATGAAGTTCATATATTTTGAACTGCGGTATTAGATACGTATGATGCACGATCCTCGCAGTAGATAGCGCTATTTAAGCAATAGCGAAAATCAGACCTGAAAAAAACCAGGCCTGTACGGGATTCGAACCACTGACCTCTGCGATACTAGTGCAGCGCTCTACCAATTGAGCTAACAAGCCAACTGGGAGCAGGCCGTTAAGTTGATTCGTAATAAACCCGTGAAAGTGATAAATCAGATACAATGAAATATATGAATCAACTTGACGGCCTGCTACCAGTTGGCTTGTTAGCTCAATTGGTAGAGTGCTGCACTAGTATCGCAGAGGTCAGTGGTTCGAATCCCGTACAGGCCTGATTTTTTTCAGGTCTGATTTTCGCTATTGCTTAAATGGCGCTATCTACTGCGAGGATCGTGCATCATACGTATCTAATACCGCAGTTCAAAATATATGAACTTCATATATTTCATTGTATCTGATTTATCACTTTCACGGGTTTATTACGAATCAACTTAACGGCCTGCTCCCAGTTGGCTTGTTAGCTCAATTGGTAGAGCGCTGCACTAGTATCGCAGAGGTCAGTGGTTCGAATCCCGTACAGGCCTG